GCAGACATCGACCACAGCATTGGTCGGCCGCTAAGAGGGTTTTGTGTTATTTAGCAAGTACATCGGGCATGGGGTTAGTGCTGGGAGGACGCGGGCCAGTGGTCCTTACATGGCACACAGACGCTTCTTAGGCAGACGACACTGAGACCCTCAGGTTCTCCCAGGGCTACTACTTTAGCCTTGGTTCGGGTGCCATCTCGTGGAGGTCCACTCGCTCCTCGTCTGTTGCTGAGTCTAGCTGTGAGGCTGAGATCTACGTCGGTGCCATGGCGGCACAGGAGCTCCGCTGGGTGACCTTCTTGCTCACCGACTTAGGTGAGCGGCCTAGCTCTGCCCCGGTTCTGTACGCTGACAACACGGCCATGATCCTCCTGTGTCAGGAGCCTCGACTTGAGGGCAGAGCAAAGCACATTTAGCTGCGGTACTTCCTCCTGCGCGAGCTACAGCAGCGTCGCCAGGCCGGCGTAGTACACTTGGCCTCCGGTGCCAACACAGCTGATATCTTTACTAAGGCGCTTGCTGCTAGCGGCACTGTTTGCAGCTTGGTCTAGTTCCTGTAGCTACTCACCTGCTAGGACCCTGATTTTGTACTCCTCTTTATATATACCTTTCTGACTAGCCTTGTGGCTTCGCTTCCAGTGGTTGGGCTAGTGGTGCCGCCCTCGTTTGCTCTTTTCTTGTTTGTACTCTTGGTGACTATTCTTCGAGCCCCTGCCTCAGAGGTTGGACTAGTAGTGCCACCCTGAGCTGCATTTTTCTTTCTCATCACTACCCCTCATCTAGCCTAGGAGATGTGTCAATTGATACATATGTTTGTACTGTATTCCCCCGTATAAAACACCCGCCGGAATTAAGCTCCCCCTTGGTAGCTTGAGCGGGTATGGGTTTTGATTTTTTCTGGATATACCGTATTCGCCCGGATAGAAGACCATTGGGTCTTGTCCAATACCCCCTAAGAATTTGGAGGTTTGTCTTATAAACGGAAGGAATAGGGGGTCTTATAATTCTAAAAACGGAACCCATTTACGTATACGAAAAAATGCATGTATTATGCCCTGCTACTGCCTCACGTCCATATCGAGTTGTGGGCCAAGAGAAATGTTGCGGTTCGGCCGCAATCATTATGTCAAAAATGCGCTTGCGAGAAAAATTCTGCCTATGCAATTTATGGCAGCGAATTTTAGAGCATTCTTCGCCAGCTGCGACAGCATTGCGCCAGCAAATTCCTAATACACGACCCAGGGAGGGTCTTTTGTCATACCTATACAAAATCCATGTCTTATAAACCGAGTACCCATTTATAAGAAAACAGCCGGATAATAGACCCGAGGGTCTTCTATTCACCCAGGTATCTGGGCGTTGACGGTACACAAAAACCTACTCTCTGACGTGAAAACTTTTGAACACCCCCCTATCAAAATGCTAGAATGAGTAGATTGAGTGAGTAGAAGGGTATATGACCTAGTGAGTTGTACCCTCTAAGGCACAAACCTATACAGTCTACAATAACATACTAAGATATGTTTGACACACCCCCTAGACTGTATAGGGGCAGTACCTGACGAGAGAACAAGCAGCTCAGGGTGGCACTACTAGTCCAACCTCTGAGGTAAGGGTCTAAAGACAAGTCAAACGAGTACAGACCAAGGCAAGAGCAAGACCAGGGCAGCACTACTAGTCCAGCCACTGGGAGAGGCCACAAGGCCAATCAAGGTAAAAAATCTATATATGGGTCTGTACACAATCAAGGCCCTAGCAAGTGAGAGGCTACAGGAACGAGACCTAGCTGTACACAGTGCCGCTGATGATCTTTAGGCGCAAGCGCCTTCGTAAAGACATCCGCTGACACCGAAGGCCAAGTTTACTACGCAAGCCTGGCGGCGCTGCTGTAGCTCGCGCAGGAGGAAGTACAGCAGCTGGATGTGCTTCGCTCTGCCCTCAAGTTGCGACTCCTGACACAGGAGGATCATGGCCCTGTTGTCAGTGTACAGGACTGGGGCAGAGCTAGGCCGCTCACCTAAGTCAGGGAGCAAGAAGGTCAGCCAGCGAAGCTCCTGTGCCGCCATGGCACCGGCGTAGATCTCGGCCTCACAGCTGGACTGGGCAACAGACGAGGAGCGACTAGCTCTCCACAAGATGGCACCTGAACCAAGACTAAAGCAGTAGCCCTGGGAAGACCTGAGGGTCTCGGTGTCCTCTGCCCAAGAAGCGTCTGTGTGCCCAGTAAGGACCACTAGCCTGCGTCCTCCTAGCACTAACCCCATGCCCGATGTACTTGCTAGATGATGCAAAACCCTCTTAGCAGCCGACCAGTGCTGAGGTCGGTGTCTGCTTGTGGCCACAAAGCAAGCCAGGATGCTGAGAGGGTATGCGAGATCTGGACGAGTGCAAGTCATCAGGTACATGAGGAAACCCACCAGCTCTACGTAAGGACCACTTGGCTCTACTGACTCCTTTGGAACTTGAGCAGAGAGCCTGTGATCTACTGGAAGAGGTGTGGGCTGTGCGGAGGAGAACTAAAGACCGAACCTCTGAAGGACCTGGCGCACCAAGTGTGACTGGGTGAGGGTGATGGTGCGCGCTGCTCTGTCCCTGGAGATCTGCAGGCCAAGGTAGTGGCACAGTTCTCCTAGGTCAGTGCAGGTGTGTCTCTTCAGCAGCTCTGCCTTTACAAAGGCCAGTGCGTCCCTGTCTGCAGTGGTGAAGACTAGGTCGTCTACGTAAACAAGGATGTAGAACGGAGTCTGGCCAGCACGAACGAAGAGCGAGGGGTGTGCAGAGGACGGAAAGAACTGCAGGTCAGCAAGGGTAGCACGCAGCGTGTCGTGCCACTCACGGGGCGCCTGCCGCAAGCCGTAGACTGGGCGCAACAGGAGCCACTAGGTCCCCGGAGGGAAGGTACCAGTGAAGCCCTGAGGGCGGCGCAAGTAGACCTGCTCATGTAGGCTACCCTGAATAAAAGAAGTGGAGATGTCGAGGGAGTGTAACGCATAGTCACGCTGTGCCGCTACATGTAGCAACGCCCGAAGAGTAGTCATCTTCGGGTCGGGGCGAAGGTCTGAAAGAACTCCACCCCCTCATGCTCACAGAAGTCTCTAGCCACGTAGCGCGCCTTGAACACAGGCGGCTCTCCAGGAGGGCACTTCACCTTGAAGAGCCAGCGGCCATTGACTACGTTCACCCCAGGTGAGGGAACTACAGTGAAGGAATTTTTTGGCCTTGAAATTGTGGTCTTTGATGATAAAAGCATGTTACGCTATTTATATTGTATGCTACTAGTACTCATGGGCCACACACATTCTGCATTAGGGCGTTAGGGCTCAAACACAAGTATGTCTTATAAGTAATATCGAAATTACACAAACTTGTACACAATTTTAGGTAACTCACTCGATTCGGACAATTACCTCCCACCGAGAGCCTAGACCGAGTTCTTTCCTGCATTTCTCGCTCGAAGTAGGTTTCACACGTAGAGCTTCACGATACCCTTCCTGAAGTCTTCGCCAAGCTCCCTGCCATGATGCGTCCGATAAGAACGCGTATTAAGGACCGACTCTTGACCCTGCTTCATCAGGGTCGTAGTTTTCGTCAGATTGCGAGCATGTTAGGGATAGGGAAAACTACAGTTCAGAAATATGCGGAACAGGCATCCCAGCGCACCAGCCGCCTAGCAGTACGACCAACGGTACCTCGATCAGGCCGCCCTCATTTGCTTTCGGTGCGTGACCGACGATGTCTTGTGCGTTCCGTAACTTCAGGGGCTGTCAAAACGAGTGTAGAGGCCGCAAAACAGTTACAGTTAGTACAGGGCATTGAGGTCTGCCCGCGCACAGTACGAAATGCCCTGAAGCTGTCAGGGCTTGTCGCTGTACAGCAACCGAGGAAGCCACGTCTTTCGGCACGTAACATCCGAGATCGCTTGGAATTCGCCCGTGCACACCTAGACTGGACTATCGAGGACTGGAATTGGGTGATCTGGTCGGATGAGACCAAGATCAACCGCTTTTGCAGCGATGGCCGCAGCTTCGCTTGGATCCGCGATGGCGCGGCTCTTCAAGCGCATCAGGTGAAGTAGTGTGTGAAGCATGGGGGCGGGTCCATAATGATATGGGGATGTATGACCTATGATGGCCCCGGTTTTATGTGTAAGATTGAAGGGCGCATGGATGGGCAGCTGTACCGTGCGATCTTGCAGGATGAGCTTGCTCTGACTATCGATTTTTACTCTCTAACCGCCAGTGATGTTATTTTCCACCAAGATAACGACCCTAAGCACAAGAGTAGGCTTGTGCAACAGTTCCTTTCTGAGCAGGAATACTCACTCCTGCAGTGGCCTTCCTCCTCCCCAGACCTAAATCCAATCGAACACCTATGGTCTCACCTCAAACGTGAGCTCGCCAAGTATGAGTACCCCCCTTCAGGCATGCTTCAAACTTGGGAGCGAGTGCAGGAGACGTGGGAGAGTATTGGAGCAGAAGTCTGTAGGGGATTGATAGATAGTATGCCTAGGAGGGTGAAGGCCGTTGTAAGGGCAAAGGGAAGATGGACTAGGTACTGATTTTGGACAATGTTATGCCTTGTTTGAAATGGGAACTATTTGTCCTAATGTACATCCATGTATCTAATGCTATGAACTTTGGCATAACAAAACCTAATATGGCTAGTGTTGGCATTTTACGTGTGCTGTTGCCTTTGTCTACCAGGCCATTAAAGCCTGTCACATTATTAACTTCCCAATAATCAGCAACTGACAATTTTCCACAAAATTGCCCAACATGCGGACAATTTCTGCCGTCACTGTACGTCGATGTAGGTGCCGGTGGATCTCCAAGATGCCATCTCCTGCTCCATGGCAGCTATCCACTGAGAGGCACAGGGTTCCGAGGTCGCCTCAGCGTAAGTGCGAGGGGTCGGGATATCGAAAGCGTCCGGGTCACCCTCTGGGACTAGCAGCATGGAACAGAGATGGGGAGCAGCCTCGGACAGGAAAACAAGCTCGTACTTGCTGTCCTCCAGGACGTCACTGCCGAGGGCAGGGGCACCCCCGACGGACGGAGGACGGGCAGGGTCAGAGACCAGAGCGGTGGCGTAGTCAAGGCGGCGGGTAGAGGCGAAGTCAGCTACCGCAGCGACAAGAGCGTCAAGACGCGAGACCGGAACAGACGGGTCGGTAACGAGAGGGGCAAGGACCCGAGGAACAAGAGGACGAGCTGCATAATGGGAGTCAGACAGAGGGGGGGGAGCAACAACAAGGGAGGATGGAGGAAGCAAAGGGAGGAAGGGAGGACGAGACGCGTGGGAAGGAAGCAACATAGGGTGAGAGCGTGGGACAGGGGAGACAAGGCGAGCACCGGAGGGACGGCGAGACCAGACGTGAGACGGAGGCGTCGGGTCAGGAGACAGAGGAGGGGACACAAGAGGGGAACAAGGGGGAAGACGAGCCGGAGACGAGTCCAGGGGAGGGAACATAGAGCCGACACGAAGAGGAGGAGACGGCGGGAGAGGCACAGACGCGTGGGCAGGGGACGGAAGGCCGAGCAGGCGAAGGGCTGACACCGGCTACGACTGCTGCTGCGGCGGCACGACGCCGACACCGGGACCACAAGCTGCTCCACGGCTACCTCCGGAACACTCCACTCCAGCACCCCCAGAAGGAACACCCCCAGAACCCGAAACCCCTCCAGCACCGGAACCACCCCCAGGCCCGCTGGGACAAGCCAAGACAGGAACCCCAGGAGTAGGACCCACCTCAACGCCAGCACCCCCTGAGTCGACGAACTGCTTCTGATGTGGTTGGGGCGGCGGCAGCTGCGACGACGGTTGCGGTGGCTGCGGCTGCTGCGACGGCGGCGGCGACAATGGCTGCTGAGGCGGCAGAGGAGGAGACAATGGGGGAGGGGCAGGTGGCAAGGACTGCGCCGCAGGGCCACTAGAGTCTGCAGACTCCTCGACCGGGACAACTCAGGGGAGGGGGGTGACGTGAGACACACTAGACGGGGCAAGACGGGGAGGGGGAGGGGCAGGGGCGACTGGGAAATGGGGAACTTGGAACAGGGGGGGAGTAACCGCGGGACCACGGTGGGGAAAGCGGTGGTAGAAGGAGACGGACTCTTCAAAGATGACGTCGCGAGAGTGAAAGAGACGGTGAGACGGCAGGTGGTAGACGTGCCAGTCAGACGAGTCGAGAGGGAAACGAAGGAAGACACAGGGGACGATGCGTGCAGTGAGCTTGTCCGTGCCAGAGGCACAAACGTGAGCAAGGTAGCCCAAGATGTGGAACGCAGACGTGTCACCAGGAGACACGGTCCAAAGAAGGGTCGGCGAAACCTGTGGGTGCTGGGAGTGCGGCCACAGGTTAAGCTGGTGAGCGGCATAGCGAACGGCGAACGGCCACGGAAAATGGGGTGCACCGGCATGGATCATGGAGGTACGAGCCACCTCCATGACTAAACCGATAGGTCGCTCAGCGACCCCATTCTGTTGCCGGGAGTTCAGCAGGGTGAACGTCTGGGTGATGCCCTCCGCAAGGACACCGGAGGCAAACTCGCCACCACGGTCGGAGTGGAGACGCAAGACACGCGGTGAACACGCCCAAAGACAAGCCACAGGATAAGGATGTCAGGAACGTCGGCCTTTCGATCCAGGGGAAACACCGTGGTGTAGCGCGTGTAGTCGTCGACAAGCACTAGGAAGTAGCGCTCTCGACGCGGCCCATGGACGGGGGCGGGGCCCCAGACGTCCATGTGCAGGGTCTGTAGCTGTGCGGTGATGGGGGGGAACGAGGAGGAGTGAGGGGAATGGCGGAGCTGGCCCTCGACGCAGGGCGTGCACGGCGGCACTGGGGAGAAGGGCAACTCGGAGAACGACCCTGGGAGACCTAGGACAAGACCGTGCTGAGATATGTGACGCAATCGCGGGAGCGCAGGGTGACCTAAACGATGGTGCCATAGAAGTGTCAGGTGAGTAAGCGACTGACACGAGCACGCCGCAGCAACCTGGGTAGACGCAGCCACCTGGGGAGACGTCCCAACCGGGGGGGGCGCGGTGTCCAGTGTGAACAGGCCAGACACCGGGTCCCGGGGGAACGTGGTGAGGGGAGCACCAGTGGCGGCCTCGGTACAGACAGCGTACTGCTTGTGACCAGGGAACGTAGTGGTGACGCCAAGGTCCTGGAGGCAGCCGACACCAACTAGGTTCCTAGAGAACGAGGGGATTTGCAGGCCTGTAAAAGAGCCCGAAGGAGCCGCCGGACACGGAAGGGTGGTGGAGCTACGGGCGACAACCGGACCTGAGGAGGGGTTGGCAAGGGAAACTGCGGCGGGAGCAGCAAGCGGTGTCAGCGTAGTGTAGTCGCGGAAGAAACACCAGGAAGCGCCAGAGTCCAGGGTAAAGGAGACCGCAACAGTGGCGGCCGAAGTTGGAGCGGCGAGGGAGGAGCCAAGGCTAAACAAGGTAGGGGATCCTACGATATGATATGCTCCTAGCCAGCCTAATAACACATACAAATATATATGTTGACAGCATTCGCATGCGGGAGATTCCATCATTCTATTTGCTCAGATTGCGCAGGTTCGCCCTTAGCGGGCACTTCCACTGGTGTTAAATTCGTTCCAAGCCCTGAGGCGAAGGCAGGTACTGTAGCACCTAGTCAACATTGCAACTCGTGCTACGACAACCGAGTGCGTTTGTGGGGTATCTGAATGCGCCCATTCCAGATTATTTCCTCCCCGGGGCCTAAAGCTGAGTGTATGCCGTAAATGTGCTGCCTTGGAACGCAACACCCAAGCGAGTAAGCTCGTCTTCCATGCTTCCTACCGGTGTGCACTCTCGCATCTGTCTGTCCACTGCTTCCGCCGCCGTGTTACTCCTGCACCCGCCCAGCTCGCCCATCACCGCCTCCAGCTCTGCTGCAATGGACCCCATGGTCGGCCGCGCCGCGCAATGCTTGGCAGTGCACCGCAGCGCCAGCTGCAGCATCCTCAGCACCAAGACATCCTGCGCCTCCATACGCGCGTCCTTGAGGCTCGCAACCACCAAGGCTGGGGTGCTGCTGGCCTGGGCGAGCTGCTGCTTCACCTGGAGGCATGATGGCAAGGCAAGTGAACAGGATTTTGAAAGGCTGATTTGGAGGTGGGGAGGAGTATTGGAAACATACACTAGGGATGTTCAGGACCACGGGTGACGGACTTGAGACCATGAAGAGACGGACAGCTGTCGGAGAAGTGCGAGGTGAAGAAAGGTGAAGAACGGCTCACCCAGGATACGATGTTCACAGGGAGGTTGGACTCCTCATCAGAGGAAATGGCTAGCAATCCCTCAACGGCCGACCACCCCGTCATCAGCTCAAGAATGAGGACGCCAAAGCTGCACATGCGGGTGGATAGTGAAATGGTGGAGGCAAGAGCAAGAGAAGGATTTAGATTTGGGGTAGTCGAAACCAATTTACAGAGATCAAAGCTCTCTACTGATTCCTAAGAATGATTCCTGAGCAAGCCTCACGGGAAATGCTCGGACGTATTGCGAGACCGTTGCTCACCTGTAGACATCGGTGGCGGTGGTGGCTTTATTGGATGCAACATATGAGGGGTCCACATAGCCCGGTGTTCCCACCACCCGAGTACTCCGAACTGTGGTGCCCTCTCCCATCCTCACTAGCCCAAAGTCCGAGATCTTAGCCTGCACACACACATATGGAGTTCAATGGATGCGAGCACGGATGAATGACTACAGTAACATGCTAAATGGAGATACCTTGCCATTTTCTTTCGTGCACATATAGCTCCACGTACATGTACCGTTGTGCGCGCTCGATTGCACAGAACCGATGCAGCAAGGAAATGATCAATAGCAGGCAGCACACTGGCAACAGATCCACATGTTCTTCTCGGGCAGGATGTTGGTATAAGAGAGCAGGAAGCTGCACTAGCAACGAAGGTCCACTTGCCTGCATGTTCTGGTCTAGCAAGATGTTGGCTGGCTTGATGTCACGATGCACGATGCCAAAGCTGTGGAGGTACTCGAAGCCCCGTGCCGCCCCCATGAGGATGTCCATCCGCTGCTGGAAGCTCAGCGGTACGGGAGCAGCTGGAGGGCAGATGGGAGGGGGATGGGGTGGTGGATTGGAATGTGGAGAACTCTGGATACAGGAAGGGGGTTCGTAGAGGAAGTAAGACAATGAGCGAGATTGTGATGACGAGTGGTGCAAGGCAAGTGTCGAAATGGCAAGGAGGAGTGAGAGAGTGCTGCACTTGAGCAGGCGAATGTGACCCTTGATCCTTGGTGCTGCACTTGACCCTGCTCTACCTGAACACAGGAACTCCACCTCACATCACCTACATTGTGAACCCCCTCAGAAACCCACTGCACTTGTCCTACAGGCGTTCCCAACTTACATCGTCCTACAGCTGGACATTGACAATGCCTTCAACAGCTGCCAGCACTGTAGCTTCATGCAGGTACTCCAGTGGAGCCCACTCGCCCTGCTCACCCCGCTCGTACTCACCCTCTATAGCGCGCCGTCACCACTCATCCTTGATGCAGCCTTCAATGGGGCAGAGATCAGCAGCAGCAGAGGCGTGCGCCAGGGCGATCCATTGGGGCCGCTGCTTCGCTGCAGCCATTCAACCAACGGTGACGCGGGTGGCGAACTGCTGCCCCGAAGTGATCGTCCTGGCCTACGCTGACGACATCACTGTCCTCGGCCCACCAGCAGCGGCCACCAAGGTTTTTCAGCTACTGCAAGAGGGCCTGCAGGAGTGCGGCTTGCAGTGCTCCCCTGCGAAGTCGGTCGGCTGGTCGCCAAGCGCAACGAGCACAGCCCTCCTACCACCAGGAGTGATACGAGCGGAGAAAGGTGTACGTGTCCTTGGAAGCCCGGTAGGGGAGGCTCAGTTCTGCACATCCTACCTCCGTAACGCACTAGCCAAGGCGGCAGCACCCCTTGGCCAGCTGATCGAGCTCCACCCCCAACACGCCCTCCTCCTCCTCTCGCGATGTGTGTCACGGCGCGCCTCCTTCCTCCTCCGCTCGACGCCGGCAGACGACCTGCCACTGGGGGAGTGGCGGGGATGGAGCGAGGATCTGGTACGGGCAGCACTAAGAGCAGCAAAACTCCAAGTACCGCGAGGCGAACTTGAGTGGAGCCTCACATGGCGTCAGTCCACCCTAACCATCACACAGGGAGGCCTGGGGATTATTGACCCCACCACAGAAGCGCCGGTGGCATTCCTAGCATCGACGCTAGAGGCGGCACGGCTCCTTGCAGAAACCCGCCCGCCTGAGGGACTGCTCCGGGAGGCGAAACAACTGCTACCGCTCCACACGGCCATCCGTGATATGGAGTCCCACCTTCCCGAAGGGGCGATGGCCAAACTCGCAGAAGCGCGTACCTCCACCCCAACAAGCGCCCTGCAGCACCGGCTAAGCCTCGACATCAACGCCCACCGAGCCGATGAGCTATTCGCGGACACCCTCCTGGACCGCCCCGGCCGGGAGAACGCCCATGGCACCCACCTCACTAGCTTGAGGGGCACGGGAGCCGGCGACTGGCTGCTAGCCCTCCCATCCCGGCCTGACCTCTGCTTCACACCAGCTCAGTTCGGGACGGTGCTAGCATTTCGCTTGGGCCTTCCCCACCCCGTCACGGGCGGATGCTCCTGCAGAAATGCAGCCATCCCAGACCCCAACCACATACTCCGGTGCAACGAGGGCGGGTACCCGAAGAACCTCCACAACGACCTTGTGTATGCGACGCTCCGCATGGCTAGGGAGGCGAAATTCAGCGTCTACCACGAAACCACCCAGTTCACCACCCCGATGAACCGGAAGCGTGTAGACCTGGCGGTTCGGGACCACGAGAGCGGTGCAACGTGGATCACAGATGTCTCGGTCACCGACCCCGTGCTCCAGCGACGCGACCTCAATGCAGACGGCCACCTTGGCTGGGCGGCGAAGGAGGCGGCTCGGGCCAAGGAACGGGAGTATGAGGACCGGCCGGCATGGGTGGGCTTCTATGCCCTGGCGGTTGAGACCTATGGGGCGTTAGCCCCTTCCACGGCCCAGTTCCTGCAGCTACAGGGCGACCACGCTGCCCTGGTCCAGTTCAGGGCCAACCCACTCACTACTCCGGCCAAGAAGCTGTTCTCCCACTTCCGGCAGAGGTGGTCAGTGCTCCTGCAGCGGCTGCAGGCGAACACCCTCATCTCCCGCAGAGGCATAGCCCTGGATGCCGCCTACCCCCAGCCTGAGGCCGACCCGTGGGCGCCGCACCTTGGGGATGTATATGATACCCTAGACGTGGACGAGCCCTAGGGGGGCTGGGGGAGGGGGTGGTCCATAGGTAGCTCGTTTTTGGGCCATTGGTAGTATTGCCTCTTTCCTTCACATGCCCAGGTGTAGCCTGTACCCAAGAACCGTCATCAATACAAGGACTGCTTGAGAGAGGGAGAGAGAGAGAGAGAGAGAGAGAGAGAGAGAGAGAGAGAGAGAGAGAGAGAGAGAGAGAGAGAGAGAGAGAGAGAGGAAGAGAGAGAGAGAGAGAGAGAGAGAGAGAGAGAGAGAGAGAGAGAGAGAGAGAGAGAGAGAGAGAGACCGAAAGAGAGAGAGAGAGAGAGACAGAGAGAGAGAGAGAGAGAGAGAGAGAGAGAGCAAGAGAGAGAGAGAGGGAGAGAGAGAGAGAGAGAGAGAGAGAGAGAGAGAGAAAGAGAGAGAGGGAGATATAGACGTAGAGAGAGAGAGAGAGAGAGAGAGAGAGAGAGAGAGAGAGAGAGAGAGAGAGAGAGAGAGAGAGCGAGAGAGAGAGAGAGAGTAAGTATGTCCACTATCATCTCCACTATTTGGAGGAATGCCTTGGGTCGCGGTCGCTGATGATCGCTGAGGGTATGCCGTGCAGACGAACAACGGTCTGTATCTTCGGCTGTGATTGTTGTGCGATAGGGTGCGAAGTGTGCCATCTTCGTCAGACGATCGACGACGACCAGGACGGCGTCGTTGCCCGTGGCGGCGGCTGGGAGCCCCGTGACGAAGTCCATCGTCACATGTTGCCACGGTCGCTGGGGTGGCTCGAGCGGTTGCAGCAGTCCAGCTGGCCGCCGTCGGGAAGACTTCATTCGTAGGCAGATCGGGCACGCGGATACGTATCTCTGCACATCAGATGTCGAATCAGGCCAATAATAAAAATGGTGAAGTAACTTCTGGGTTTTATCAACCCCAAAATGACCGGAGAGGTTAGAATCATGGACTTCTTGAATAAGTAATTCGCGGAGGAGTCTGTAGGCGGGAACCCAGATACGGTCAGTACCGGCTTTTAGGAAGTAGGGTCCTTTGGCTGTGGTGGCTTGTTGGTGGTGGTTGCGAGTGAAAAAGGGGTCTGTGGTATAGCCGTGGGTAAATAGGCCAGTGAGCAGCGGGTTGGATTTTGCGACAATGATTGAGGCGAGGTGGGCGGATGGTCTTGTCAGCGCGTTAGCGATGTTATTCGCTCCCCGTTTGTACGTGATGGTGTAGTGGAAGTTGCTTTCGAGGAAGTCCAGCCAGCGAATCTGCAGTGGATTTAGATTCGGCTGCGCGCAGAGGTACTGTAAGGATTTATGGTATGTCCGTACTGTCACGTCGGCTCCCGTCAAGTAGCATCGCCACACCTTGAATGCGTGCACGATGGCGAGCATTTCTTTGTCGTGGACGGAATAGTTGCGCTCGGCTGCCTGCAACTTCCTAGACTCATACGCGATGGGTTGGAGTCCGTCGTTGAAATCTTGTAACAGTATCGCACCGATGGCGAAATCGCTAGCGTCCGTCAAGACTTCGAACGGTCGAGATGGGTCGGCGATTCAGAGGACCGGGGGCGACGTCAGAGAATTTCGCAGTTCATCGAAAGCAGTCTGCTGTCTCTCCCCCCATTCAAACAAAGTGCCCTTCCGCAGCAGGTCAGTTAACGATCCGGTTATCCCTGCCATATTAGGGATAAACCTCCGGACATAATTAACGAACTCGAGAAAACTCTGCAGCTCCTGTAAATTCGTCGGCGGCTTCCAGTCGCGAATCGTTGTGATTTTTTTCGGGTCGATTTTTATGCCGTCCGCTCCCACGACATGTCCCAAAAATTCCAGTTCGGATTTGAGGAACTCGCACTTGGAGCCCTTCGTGATGAGCCGGTTTTCTTGCAGCCGCCGGAAAACTTGCTCAAGGTCCTTGAGGTGCTGTTCCTGTGTCTTGCTGTAGATCAGAATGTCATCAAGATAGACGATGACACACTTGTCGAGCAGGTCTCGGAATACGCCGTTCATGGTGAGTTGCAAAGTGGAGGGCGCGTTCGTGAGGCCAAACGGCATCACTGTGTACTCGTAGCTACCATAGCGGGTTCGGAACGCCGTCTTGTGGCAGTCGTCAGCGAAGACTCGGATCTGATGGTAACCGCCGCGTAAGTCGATTTTCGAGAAGAAGCGAGCTCCGCGAAGTTGATCGAGAAGATCGTCCGCGCGTGGGATTGGGTAGCGAGACTTGATTGTTCGTCGATTTAGCGCCCTGTAGTCGATGCACATTCGCAGCCCGCCGTCTTTTTTGGGCGTGAACAGGATGGGTGCTGCGAACGGGGAGGTGCTGGGCCGAATGAACCCCTTCTCCAAGAGGTAGTCCAGTTGGCTTCGCAACTCCGTGAGCTCCGGCTAAGTCAGCCGCCACTGGGTCCTGATTGTAGGCTGCGCGCTGGGTTCCAGGTCAATTTTGTGGTCCTGGGGGCGCTCGGGTGGCAAGCCTGCTGGCAGATCGTCCGGAAAAATATCCGGGTACTGTCGAATCAGCGCGGCGAGCTCGGCAGGGACACTGGCACAAAGTGTGTCAATGTCCTTTGGCGTATTGTCGACCGTCGCGTCGGCCAGGTGGACGGCGTACAAGTCAGCTCCTTTTTAAACCGCTCGCTGGAGGGTGATGGCGTTGACATGTGTCGACACCGGATCTCTCCCACGCCAGCTTGGAAGTACGCGCCACCCGTTCGCACAGTGTACGCTGCATTCGCCAGTTGTCCAGTCGATCCTCGGATTGTATTTTCGCAGCCAATCACGCCCAAGCAGAATGTCGCAGCCGTCTCGCGTCGTGGCGAGCATGGGCATGCTGAATCCGAAGTCGTCGCCACACTTCATCCGCACCATGCGCGCTCGTTCTCTAATTGCAAGTGGAGTTCCGTCCACCAGTCGCACGTCGATTTCGGGAAGACATTTTTCCAACGTCAGCTTCAACTGCTTCGCTGTTGTCACGTGTATGAGACTGTGACTAGCTCCGCCATCCACAAATAGCTTTTTTTTTTTGCCGTTAACCTTGCCTTCTACCAGCACAGGGTGATCTTCAGGTTCGCTCCCGTTATTCGTCTGAGTGCGGTCGATAGCGTGTATCGGTACCACAACTTGGTGGGAACGTTGAAGTTCGGGCGACAAAGCCTCGTCAGTAGGGGGCCCGTCTGCTACTGACTTTTCCCATTTCTCGGCTTCTCCTTGTCGTTCTTCGTCTTCTTGGGCGTCGTCGGGCAGTACTTAGCTCGGTGACCTGGCTTGTCACATAAAAAACATAGCCCGTGAAATATTTCATCGGGCGCTGGCACGCCATTGATCGTGGGGCGGGGAGACTGTCCACGAAAACGACCAACATCCCTGTTGTTCTTTCTCGCCCACTGCTGCAGTGCATCGGCTGCTGACGCCAGCTGGACAGCTTCATCGAACGTCTTGGGACGGGACCGCTACAACTCGTATTGAATATCGAAATGCAGCCCGCTAACGTATTTGTCCCGTCTTTCCGCTTCGCTAAGGTCGTCGACTTCGTCCGCAAGTGCCGAGAACGACGCAGTGTAATCTTGAACAGTAGTCACCTGTCGCCAGTTGCGCAGCTTCATACGAGCGTCGTCTGAGGCGGATGAATGCTCAAAACGAGCTCGCAGAGCTGTGCCCCACTGTTTCCACCGGCGAATCGTAGTCGTACCGAATATTGTTTCTGCCTGTTGGTTTGAAGAGTCCGAAGTCCCGTCCTTCGCCTGCTTCACTCCTGCCGGAGTCCCAATCGCCAACTGTCATCGCCACCAATCCAACGCCGGTCCTCGGAGCAGCGACACGGCATAATTAATGCGCGCATCATCGGTGTGCACACTTGCCGCCATGAAGAACAGCTCCATGCTGAACAGCCACCCTTGCACCGTCGTCGCCTTGTCCGAAGGGTTGAACGGGGGCGGTGTTGCTGGCTTGAGTTTAATCTTCGTTACGGTCACAGTACGCACGTCGTCCTGCTCCAACTCCCGTGCGAGCTCGTCAAGGACGGTTTCGCTTGCTGCGTCGTCGGCACTTTGCTTGACCTCGTCTTCGGCGAGTCCAGGCGACTCCTGACGCGCCTCACCACGCGTCTGGCGAAGCTCGGTGTTCTCCGTCCGAAGTCTCACGACTTCACTGTTCAAACTTGCCATCTGGGCTTGCATTGCCTGCATCTGAGCCATGACCTCGTCTAGCTGGGCCTGGGACATGATGCGAATGCTACGCCTTTCGGGCAGGGGGAAGGCCGTGGTAAGAAACCGTAGGGGGCGCAAACGCTATCGTAGTTGTGTGAGCTAATAACTCTAGCTCACGGACAACCGCTTTGCAGCCCCGCAGGGTTAACCACGCCTTGGAAATAAACTACCCTGAGAAAGCGGGGTTAACCAGGAAAGTAGCTCTGATACCAGATGTTATGAATAATAACTGAGAGTGCGCGGAATAATAATGACGAGTACAAGAAGGATAGCCTAGCATTATATAGCGAGTGCTCTAGCTAGGCGACGAGCCCGGAGGGCTAGGTTGGGTACAGGCGCAGTCGAAAGGGTCGGAGGCGGCGCGGGCGTGCCTCGGGGCCGCGTCAGAAACGGACCGAGCCTGGTCTGCCGAGAGTTCGGGTGTACGCGATTGCAGTACAACCCGGTAAGGAATAAAATTCCTTACACAAAAACCTGTCTGGTTACCGAGAGCGCTGAACCTCGCACGGCGTGTGAAAGATGGGCTCGGTACGAGTCTGGCACGCGCCGCCTCCTTACCTTTCGACTACGCCTGTACACAACCTCGCCCTCCAGGATCCTTGCCCAGCTAGGGCACTCTCACTATATCTTGCTAGACTCCACCTGTGCTACTTCGTACATCCTCTAAAACGCTGAAAACCGAGTACACCGCCAACCGAACGTGAAACGAGCCTCGCCGAAACCGCCAATCAACCAGCGTGGTCCCAGGTCCACGCAAGGTTGGCGTCCGCCCTCGGCGCCAGCTGGCGGGGGACCCCTCGCATGATTGGTGGCGCGGGACTCGGCGTGGTTCGTGTGAAGGCTCGGGCGGGGCCTGCTCCGCTTGCAGATGATGCCAAATCTCCGCCTGGCCCTGGCCGTGGTTCTGCACGTCATCCCTGCTTCCCTCCCCTCCCCTCCCCAACCAGCAACACACTGCTGCCGCGTCACCATCGATTGTGCAGTGCACTTCGGAAATTGACACAAGCTAGCGTGCTTGGCCAACGCACCATTCTCCATCCGCTGAGTTGGACAAATCTGCCATGCAGCATACAGTACCCCACAGTACAGTTCGAACTGTCACATCACAAGCCAGCAACAAGCTGTGAGTGACAGAGGACTTATGGCCTGACACTAAACTACACCCTGACATTCGACATTTCGCCCGGAAATTGAAAGCAAGCGTACAGGGTGTCACGCAAACGGAAAACCACTCCGAGAGGATTCCCCCAAAACTTTCCCCTACTCTGAGCATCAGTGCCCAAATTTTGCCAACCGGAAATCGGGTTTTGCAGTGGCAACTCTGACCACTCAGGGTTGGCTAAAATGTTCAAGGTCTGGGCTTCCACCTTTTCTTACGAACACTACATGCCTTTACACTGCATGCCATATATACACTTCGTAATGCAGGATTCTTCGGGCACAATCAAGGGGCTAACATTCAATTATAATCATCACACCTAGACAAGTTTGAAAATACCCAGCAAACATTGATATGTAAACATAATGAACTAGTCGAACGCTCGTTATACTTATGACTTGGGGTAAGTATTGTGCAAAATACACCCTATGCATCAGCAGGTCAAAGGCTCGGGGCATTGTACATGTAGGGCTGAGAAATGCCCTTAGGATTGTTGGGCTGAGAAAAACCCTTTAGGATCTTTTGCAGAGACTAAGTCCCAGCTGTAAAGACTTGAGACTTGGAGTAGTGCAGCGGAAGTTGAGGCAGTTGAACCCTTGTACTAGTATGTGAGAACAAGTGATTGATTAAAGAAACAAGCATACAGCAATATATAGTAGATAAGAAAGCAGTTGTAGAATACAGTTACAGGAACGGTTTATCGAGTCGCACAGCGACTCGATTGCCGCTTCGGTTACCATCCGTGATGTTGTAACGGTCAGTCGCAACCTCCAGTTGCGACCTTTCGAGTCCTTTCGCATTCTTTGTCCGCCCCCTCGTGTAACCTCCGTTGACTCGCGTGCTCCCCTGTAATCTTCCTCGAGTACAGTGTTACACTTCAGAAACGCTTAAGTCCTTGAGATATTTCCAACACTCCCCTTCGTTTCTGGAGTGCTGGAGTGTTCAGATCCGGTGGCGTTTGTTTGCCCGGTTAGGAGCATGCAGTAGTCGAATTTTGCTTTCGCCAATTTCTTCGTCAGATAATCTGCGGCCATTTCTGTCGTCGGGCAGTAACTGAGTTGAAGTCTCCCCTTCGCGATTTCATCCTTGACGAAGAAGTACCGCAGGGCGATGTGCTTGGTTCGATTGGCGAAGCCGTCCTTGTTCGCGATTTTGATCGCAGATTGGTTGTCGCAGAGGAGTGAGAAGGCGGGCAGGGTCGCGATCTTCGCTTCTTCGAGTAACTCTCGTAGGTAGAGTCCTTCCTTGGTCGCAGTACAAAGGGCGATATACTCTGCTTCAGCCGAGGATAGTGCGATTAACTCCTGCTTGCTCGACTGCCAGGAGATAGTTCCGATAGGTTCTAGTCGGTAGATGTAGCCCGTCCTAGACCGTCGATTTTCGCTGTCTCCCGCGTGGTCGGCGTCGACGTATCCGAGTAGTCGTACGGACGGTGTTGTTGCCTTGCTGTAGGTAAGCCCGATCGTCGGCGTGGAGACGAAGTAGAGTAGCGCTCGATTGAGTTCTTCGAGATCTTCCTGTTGCGGATGCTTCAGATGTGTCGCCAGCTGACTCGCACTATAGCATAGGTCGGGTCGGCAGGTTACTGCTGCGAATAGTAGGCAGCCGAGCTTCTGTTGATACTCCTGGATTTGTTTCGCGGGGAGTTTTGTAGAGGCGCTGCCGTTGTTCCCGTAGCGGTAGGGAGTTGGGACCGCAGTCGGTGTTAGAGCGAATTTCTTCGCGACGGTGCTTGAGTACTTTCCAGCGTGTAGGTAGAACGCCGTGTCGTCTTCGACGACGTTCAGTCCTAGGTACTGCGTAACTTCGTCGGACACCGTGAGAGTTAAATCTTCTTTCAGCTCCCCTTCGAACCAGGTGGCGATGTCGGTAGTTGAGCCGATGTAGAGCAGGTCGTCGACGTAGACGATGAGCAGAACATACTCTCTTCCCTTCTGCAGTCGGTACATCCCTTGGTCATGCGGCAGCTGTAGGAAGCCGATTTTTACGAGACGGCTGTGAAGATGCTGCTGCCAGAGCCGCGGGGCTTGCTTGATCCCGTATAGGGATTTTGTCAGTCGGCATATTTTCGTGGGGTCGTCGATGAATCCGTGGGGTTGTTCGACGAAGATCTCAGCGTCCACAGGTGCGTATAGGAACGCATTCGCGACATCGATTTGGCGTAGTGGTAGTGTTTTTGTGGCCGCGACGGCGAGTAGGATGCGTAATGAGGTGTGACGGGAGACTGGGGCGAAGGTTTCTGTGTAGTCGGTTCCGTATCGTTGATCGAAGCCTCGTACGACCCATCGAGCTTTGAATCGTTCGATGGAGCCGTCTGAGTTGGTCTTGATGCGGTACACCCATTTCCCCGAGAGAACGTTCTTCCCGTTGATGCTCGTTGCAGGTACCAGTTTCCATGTTTCTCGGTCTTGCAGAGCTTTTAACTCCTTTTCCATCGCTTCTTTCCATTTTGCCTTATGTTCCCCCCCCAGAGCATGCGACAAGGTTGAAGGCTCACGCGTAGAAGGCGGCGGCGGATGCTGGACGGAGACCCAGAGGCCTAGAATCTGGAGTCCCGTGGGTGTGTGTCGAGGGGAATTGTCATTCCCCGAATAAGCTGCTTCGTCACCGTCTTCGGGGTCAGGTAAGAAATTGGGGCCGATGCGTTCCGAAATATTCGTGTCGACGGGGTGCGGTGTAGCGTAACCTTGGTCGGCGAAGTGGTAAAAGGTGTCGAGGTTGTTGCTATCGAGGGGATTATCTTCATCGAGTGGAACAGGTATGGAACAGAATGGGAGTGGCCCGGCAGCTTCCGAGGCTCCAGGTACGTCTTCTTCTGCTGCGTCAGCCTCGGCAGCATGGTCAGCGAAGGAGCGAAGGCCCGCGAAGCCGTCGGTGGGGTCGTCTGAGTTGGCAATGTTGTCCAGGTAATGCTGCAGCGTCAGTCGCTCGTAGAAGATAACATCACGTGATGCCACCGTATTTTTGTCTTGTATGTCGAGGATCTTCCACGCGTGAAAATGTTTGGCGATGCCGAGGTGTAGTCCCCACCGAGCTCGTTGAGTGAAGCGTCCTGCTCGAGCTGTGTGGGGTCTGTATTGTACCATGCAGCCGAAAACTCAAAGTAATTTTGTGCTGCCCCTTTTTCCCGTCCACAGCAGGTGTGGTGATGCGTTGTTGGGGAGCGATGACGAGGACAACAGGTTGTGCAGGTGGACTGCATGTGTCATCGCGTCTGGCCACAGTGCGTTGGGCAGCCTCATCCCCAGAAGCAGTTTTCGCATCGTCGTCTGCAAGGTCCGGTTCATGCGTTCTGCTACCCCCTGCTGCTGGTGAGCATAGGGCAGAGACACCAGGCGTCGGATTCCCCTTTCCGCGAGATAGGTCCTGAAGCGTTGTGACTGGTATTCCAGTGCACCGTCTGACTGGAAACTCTTGAGTTTGGTTCCTGACTCTCGTTCGGCGATTGGAAGCCATGTGGTGAATGCCTCGAAGGCTTGATCGCGCGTTTTGAGATTGAAGTGCCAGACGTATCTGGTTGCGGCGTCGATGAACGTGATGACGTAGTTGAAGTCGGCTTCGGTGTCGTCTCGAGGCATGTTTAGAATATCGCTGTAGACCTTTTCCATCGGAGCGTAAGTGGGTGCGCTTGGATTGTGATGGGCTGGGAAAGGTTGATGAGGAAGATCTGCTTCGGGGCATGTGAAACACCGTGCGCGTGGTCGTCGGAGTTCCTGGCCGCTCGTCGTCAGAAGGGCGTTGCGTTCTAACACTTCTGCTTGGATTGTTTGAAGTATCGTGCTGTTTGCAGGATGTCCGAGACGTTGGTGCCAGATGTCGTCGGGAGCGCGGTGACCGGGCGAGCGGTGGTAGATGTCGGCGTTGGAGAAGAACGCGACGACCGAGGCGGGACTTCGACAAGCTTCTCGTGTGGCGGGCATAAGTTGGTCTGCTTCGGTTGGCTGTCCTCGTGTCGCTGGTGGTGGTACTCGGCTGGGTCCTGCTGCCGATACTGCAGGTGATGGTTTTGTTGGGACACATGCGGGTACTTGTCTTTCTTGTCTGATAACTGCTAATGCTCGTGTTCTTTCTGCTGCAGGTATGGTGTTGGAGTGCCAGAAGCCGTCGCTGTCGAAGTCGGGATCAAGATCTGGCGGATGAGTCCAGGCGGCGAAGGATACGATACCGTCGCTGTCGGCAGTTCCGCGGTCGGGGACGAAGTCCAACACGAAGACACCGGACTTCAGGAGGGCACGACCGATGAAGAGACCGCCCTTCCCGTGGTAAAGTCGGAACTCGTTGGAGAAGGAGTCGCACTCCAGGTGAATCCCCTTAGCCATTAGTTGGCTTACGCTTAATAGGTTGTATCCCAGATTGTCGACGATGAGGACCTTGTTGAGCTGAAGAATAACGTTTGTCTCCATTGATTGTAACTGAACCACGCCTTGTCTATTTGTTTTCAGGTTTTCGTTGTTGGCGACGGTGATGACGACGTCACGGTTGAGGCGTCGCTCGTGTTGTACGAAGCGTCCGGAGGAGCACATGTGCTGACCGCAGCAACTGTCCAAGAACCAGGTGTTCCGCCCGGTGGGTTCGGCGTTAGCGACTGCAGCGTATGTCGGGTTGACCTGAAGTCCTTGCGAGCGCGGCGGCGGGAATTCCTCTTCGTCTGGTGCGTAAGTGGGTGGTGAAGCGGGTGCGCAGTTGTCGATGTGTACCATGCAGTTGATGATGTTGGGTGTTTGTTGTGCAGATGTTGAAGAGCGCCTTGGAGGACTTGCTTGAGTGGAAGCGACTTGTGGGTCTGCTGCACGGTAAACGCGAGGGCGGTTGCAGTTGACCTTGGAGTGCCCGGAAGTCTGACAGTTGTGGCAGAACGGCGGCACGATGGTGAGTCCTCGGTTGTCACGTTGATCTTGCTTGCTGCGTCGGTTGTAGTTGTTGTCATTTCTTCTTTGAGTGTAGAAGACTAACTGCTGTTGCTTCCTTGGTTGTCTTTCCTCGAACAGATCCATCTCCTGTTGTTCAGCGTGAAGCTCGGCGCAGAGGTGCATCTCCGAAATTCTTCCGTGGGCTCGAAGAAGTGATCGTGTGGTTCTCCATTCTGGCCCGAGCCCGGCGAGGACAAGTGTCACGAAGCTTTCTTCAGTGATCGTTCCTCCGCACCGAAGCAGGCGGTCGCGGAGGGTCTGGCAGCGACTCATATACTGCATCGCCTTTTCCCCGGTCTTCATCTGTATTGTTGTCAGCTGTTGCATGAGTCTGCTTTGTGTCACGCTGTCGTTTGCTTGGTAAAGGCATTTGAGGTGGTGCCATGCGAGCTCCGCGGAGTTTCCATAACTCCGATACGTTCTGATGCTCTGCTGCTCTTGTGGTGACAGGTTTCTCACGAGTACCGTGTACGCCAGCAGCGACTGATACGTGAAGATCTCTTGTTCCTTCCCAGTGCCGTTGCTTGGGAATGGCAGGGACCCGTTGAAGTATCCCAGAAGATGCGCGGCCTCCATCAGCAGCTCGAACTCGAAGCTCCAGGTAAAGAAGTCGTGTCCGTTGAACGGTGAGGATGTCTGAAGTTTGATCACGTGTGAGAACTGCGCCTGTAAACTTAAGATTTCATTCGGTGTTTGTTGTGAAGCAGCTGTTGTTGGCTGGGCACGGGGCGGCATGAATTCGAACGTCCCCGGCGAAGAATGATAAGGCGCAAAGGTAGGCGCTTGATTGTGTCGCCCGAAGGATGAGTTGTCGAGGCTCATCGGCGCTAATCCCATATTCCCTCCATTGCTCTGTGTTGAGTGCGCAGGTGTCCTTGTCTGCTGCTGCTGATCGAAGTGTGACATGAAGCTGAAGAATCTCTCCATGAGATTCGGGTCCACACTTGAAGAGGGAGACGGGGTCACCATCTCTGGTACTCTTCCCGTTGTTTCTTGAGCAGTCCCGGTCTCTGTCTGCAGTCCTGAGGTGTGCAGACCAGAGTTGCCGTGTTGAGTTTCTTGGGCGCTGGGTGAGCCCGTAGAGACTTTCTTGCCCTTGTTGTCCATGTCTTGTAATCAATGAAGTCGTTGAATTGAGTTGAGTTGCAGGTTGTTGATAGGACGTAGTTGCTGGGAGTTTGGTCTCTGACCAGCTCTCATACCATGTTGGGCTGAGAAAAACCCTTTAGGATCTTTTGCAGAGACTAAGTCCCAGCTGTAAAGACTTGAGACTTGGAGTAGTGCAGCGGAAGTTGAGGCAGTTGAACCCTTGTACTAGTATGTGAGAACAAGTGATTGATTAAAGAAACAAGCATACAGCAATATATAGTAGATAAGAAAGCAGTTGTAGAATACAGTTACAGGAACGGTTTATCGAGTCGCACAGCGACTCGATTGCCGCTTCGGTTACCATCCGTGATGTTGTAACGGTCAGTCGCAACCTCCAGTTGCGACCTTTCGAGTCCTTTCGCATTCTTTGTCCGCCCCCTCGTGTAACCTCCGTTGACTCGCGTGCTCCCCTGTAATCTTCCTCGAGTACAGTGTTACACTTCAGAAACGCTTAAGTCCTTGAGATATTTCCAACAAGGATCTTTCCAGAGACTTAAGTCCCAGTTGTAAAAGACTTGAGTAGTGCAGCGGAAGTTGAGGTGGTTGAACCCTTGTACTAGTACATGAGAACAAGTGATTGATTAAAAGAACAAGCATACAGCAATATATAGAAAGTAGGAAAGTAAAGCAGTTTGTAGAATACAGTTGAAAGAGCGGTTATCGAGTCGCGCAGCGACTCGATTGTCGCTTCGGTTACCATCTTTGCAGCTGTAACTGTCAGTCGCAACCTCCAGTTGCGACCCTTCGAGTCCTTTCGTATTGTTTGTCCATCCCCTCGTGTAACCTCCGTTGACTCGCGTACCCGTTACGACCTTCCTCGAGTGTGGTGTTACACTTCAGAAACGCTTAAGTCCTTGAGGTATTTCCAACACTCCCCTTCGTTTCTGGAGTGTTGACGTGTTTAGATCCGGTGACGTTTGTCTGCCCAGTTAGCAGCTTGCAGTAATCGAACTTTGCCTTCGTCAGTTTCTTCGTCAGGTAGTCTACGGCCATTTCTGTCGTAGGGCAGTAACTGAGTTGAAGTCTCCCCTTCGCGATTTCATCCTTGACGAAGAAGTATCGCAGGGCAATGTGCTTGGTTCGGTTGGCGAAGCCGTCCTTGTTCGCGATTTTGATCGCAGATTGGTTGTCGCAGAGGAGTGAGAAGACGTGCAGGGTTGCAATCTTTGCTTCCTCAAGTAACTCTCGCAGGTAGAGTCCTTCCTTGGTTGCAGTACAGAGGGCGATATATTCTGCTTCAGCCGAAGATAGTGCGATTAGTTCCTGTTTGCTCGACTGCCAAGAGATAGTCCCGATAGGTTCTAGTCGGTAGATGTAGCCCGTTCTCGATCGTCGATTTTCTCTGTCCCCCGCGTGGTCGGCGTCAACGTATCCGAGTAGTTGTACGGATGGTGTTGTTACTTTGCTGTAGGTAAGTCCGGTCGTCGGCGTAGAGACGAAGTAGAGTAGTGCCCGGTTTAGTTCTTCGAGATCTTCTTGTTCCGGCTGCTTCAGATGCGTCGCCAGCTGGCTTGCACTGTAGGATAGGTCAGGTCGGCAGGTTACTGCTGCGAATAGTAGGCAGCCGAGCTTCTGCTGATACTCCCGGATTTGTTTCGCGGGGAGTTTTTCGGAGGTGTCGTTGTTGTTCCCATAGCGGTAGGGAGTCGCGACTGTAGTTGGTGTTAGTCCGAACTTCTTTGCGACAACGCCTGCGTACTTTCCAGCGTATAGGTAGAACGCCGAGTTGTCTTCGACGACATTCAGACCCAGGTACTGGGTCACTGTGTCGGACACTGTGAGTGTCAAGTCCCCTTTCAGCTCCCCTTCGAACCAGGTGGCGATGTCGGTAGTGGAACCGATGTAGAGCAGGTCGTCGACGTAAACGATGAGTAGGATATACTCTCTTCCCTTTTGCAGTCGGTACATGCCTTGGTCATGCGGCAGCTGTAGGAATCCGACTCTGACGAGGCGACCGTGAAGATGCTGCTGCCAGAGCCGCGGGGCTTGCTTGATCCCGTAAAGGGATTTTATCAGCTGGCATACTTTTGTGGGGTCGTCGATGAATCCGTGGGGCTGCTCGACGAAGATTTCGGCGTCCACAGGTGCGTACAGGAAGGCATTTGCGGCGTCGATCTGGCGTAGTGGTAGTTTCTTTGTGGCTGCGACGGCGAGTAGGATGCGCAAGGAGGTGTGACGAGAGACTGGGGCGAATGTTTCTGTGTAGTCGGTTCCGTATCGTTGATCAAATCCTCGTACGACCCAGCGAGCCTTGAATCGTTCGATGGAGCCGTCCACATTAGTCTTGATGCGGTATACCCACTTTCCCGAGAGCACGTTTTTTCCGTTGGTTTTTGTTGCAGGTACCAGCTTCCACGTGTTTCGGTCTTGCAGGGCTTTTAGCTCTTTTTCCATTGCATCCTTCCATTTCGTCTTACAGTGGCGGATTAAATTGCCCGGATGTTTAACACTTTGAAACGTATCGTTATGCAACACATGTTTCGAAAATAGTAACACCCGTTTTTTTCCATTCTGTTACTCGGTTTTTGAGTTCTGCTTCATCCGTTTCTTGCTTGGCGCGATTGTGACACTAACGGAAAGTGGGGTTGAAATTTACTACTCGACTGTCGATGTGGACATTTCCTACCGAGCGGAAGAGTAGATCTATTTTCCCCCGTCGCTCAGTGTGTACATCGTCACGCGCACCAGTTCCTAGCTTAGTTGTTAGTCCGGAAGCGAGCCTACGACCGCATCGCTATGAAGCCGTTAAATGAGAAGAAGCGCGCGAGGATCAGAAGCATGTTGCGTGCGGGGCATTCGACTAGGAAAATAGGGAAACTTCTTGGCATAGGCAAGAGCACCGTGCACGATTACGGTATGAAACTCGCTGAGGAGACTAGTCGCGAGGAGGTGCGACCTACGATGCCTTCGGCCGGCCGCCCCCGCTTAATCACAACCCGTCTCCAGCGCGGAGTTATACGTGCGATTACTAGCGGCGAGGCGAAAAGCTCTTCAGACGCGGCCAAGATGTTGTTGGAGAAGCACGATCTCGCCGTAGACTCGAAGACGGTCCGCAACTCTTTACGATCCGCGGGGCTGATCGCCGTGCATCAGCCCAAGAAACCCAGGCTCTCACCGAAAAACATCCGCGATCGTCTCGACTTCGCGCGGGCGCATGCCGACTGGACGCTGGAGGACTGGAAGCGGGTGATTTGGTCTGACGAGACGAAGATTAACCGCTACTGCTCCGACGGACGTGCGTACGCCTGGATTCGCGAGGGCACCAGCCTTCGGAGCCACCAAGTCCAACAGACAGTTAAGCATGGGGGCGGTTCTGTGATGGTGTGGGGTTGCATGACGTATGAGGGGGCGGGGTTCATGTGCAAGATAGATGGCAGGATGGATGGGCCGCTGTATCGCAGCATCTTGCAAGATGAGCTCAAACAGACCATCGATTTTTTCAAGCTTTCCCCCTCAGAGGTCATTTTCCAGCACGACAATGATCCCAAGCACAGGTGTCGTCTGGTCCAAGACTGGCTTGGGGAGCAGGAGTACGCGGTGCTGGAATGGCCGTCGTGCTCCCCGGACCTTAACCCAATTGAGCACCTGTGGGCATACTTGAAAAGGCAGCTGGGGAAGTACGAAAAGCCGCCAAGGGGAATGCTGGAGCTGTGGGAGAGGGTGCAGGAGGAATGGGACAAGATACCGCCGGAGGTGTGTGCAAACCTGATCGACAGCCTGCCGAGGAGGATCAAGGCAGTGATTCGGGCAAAGGGACGCTGGACTAGGTACTAGTTTTCCTGGAATCTAGTGTGATACCATTTTCCGGTACAAATTGTCCACATGTTCTCCCATGCTATGCTTAGGAGTTTAAGGACCATGTGTGGTACTACTTTGGTGTTTGAACACTGGAGTGACTGCTCTAACTGAACTTCTCAGCGTTAATGCACACCGTACATTAAGGCTTAATGTATACGCCTCTGCACTCATAAAAATGCCAAAAAAGGCAAAACATGTGGACAATTTAATCCGCCACTGTATGTTCCCCCCCCAGAGCCTGCGACAGAGTCGTTGGCTCGCGCGGAGATGGCGGCGGCGGGTGCTGGATGGAGACCCATAAGCCGAGGATTTGCAGTCCCGTGGGTGTGTGTCGAGGGGAATTTTCATTCCCCGAATAGGCTGCTTCGTCACCATCTTCTGGATCAGGTAAGAAGTTGGGGCCGATGCGTTCTGAGATATTCGTGTCGACCTAGTGAGGTGTAGCGTAACCTTGGTCAGCGAAGTGGTAGAGGGTGTCGAGGTTATTGTTATCGAGAGGATTGTCTTTGTCGAGTGGAACAGGTACGGAACAGAAAGAGAGTGGTCCGGCAGCTTCCGAGGCTCTTGGTACGTCTTCTTTTGCTGCGTCAGCTTCGGCAGCACGGTCGGCGAAGGAACGAAGGCCCGCGAGGCCGTCGGTGGGGTCGTGTGTGTTGGCAATGTTGTCCACGTACAAGATAACATCACGTGATGCCACCATATTTTTGTCTTGTATGTCGAGGATTTTCCATGCGTGAAAATGTTTGGCGATGCCGAGGTGTAGTCCCCACCGTGCTCGTTGAGTGAAGCGTCCTGCTCGGGCTGTGTGGGGTCTGTACTGTACCATGCAGCCGAAGACTCGAAGTAATTTTTTGCTGCCCCTTTTTCGTGTCCACAGCAGGTGCGGTGATGCATTGTTGGGAAGCGATGACGATGACAACAGATTGTGTAGGTGGACTGCATGTGTTATCGCGTCTGGCCACAGTGTGTTGGGCAGTCTCATCCCCAGGAGCAGCTTTCGCATCGTCGTCTGCAAGGTCCAGTTCATTCTTTCTGCGACTCCCTGCTGCAGGTGAGCGTAGGGCAGAGACACCGGGCGTCTGATTCCTCTTTCCGCCAAGTAGTTCCTGAATCGTTGTGACTGGTATTCCAGTGCGCCATCTGACTGAAAGCTCTTGAGCTTGGTTCCTGATTCTCGTTCAGCGATGGGGAGCCACGTCGTTAAGGCTTTGAAAGCTTGATCCCGTGTCTTGAGGTTGTAGTGCCAGACATATCTTGTTGCTGCATCGATGAACGTGTTGACATAGTTGAAGTCGGCTTCAGTCTCGTCTCGAGGCATGTTTAAGATGTCGCTGTAAACCTTTTCCATCGGTGCGTATGCAGGTGCGCTTGG